AAAATGGAATTGGAGTTGAGAAGGATGAACATAAGGCATTCGAATATTATCAAAATTTAGCTGATATGGGTTTTGCTGATGGAATGTTTCAAGTTGGATATTGTTATCTAAATGGAGTTGGAATTGAAAAAGATGAATTTAGGGCATTCGAATATTATCAAAAATCTGCTGATTGTGGATTTGCTGATGGAATATTTCAAGTTGGTGCATGTTATCAAAATGGAGTTGGAGTTGATAAGGATGAATATAAGGCATTTGTTTATTATCAAAAATCTGCTAATATGGGTAATGCTGCTGCAATAAATCAAATTGGATATTGTTATCGAAATGGAAGTGGGGTAAAGAGAGACATACAAAAAGCCGAAAGTTGGTATATAAAGTAATTAATATTTTTAATATTTTTTATATCTTTAATTTTTATTTTCATATTTAAATTCATAAATTTTATTAGAGAAACAGATCTAAAACCAGGTAACTTTTATATACATATTATTTCATTAATTTAATTATAATAATATTTAAAATTTGACTGGATGTTTATTATTCTTTACTAGCCATTGATGAAGATATGAACAAAAATTCTAACATTGATAACGAATTAAAAAAAGTTTTAATCAATTATCAATTATCATGGATTCCTTACAACGAATTTGAAAATATTGAAGAGATAGGGAAAGGTGGATTTGCTACTGTATACTATGCTCATTGGTTTGATCAAAGTCAAAACTTATTGAGGCCTGTTGCACTTAAAACATTTCGTGAATCAAACAATAATTATGATGAATTCATAAAAGAGGTAATTTTCTTAAAACTTTTTGTCAAAGAATATTTTATATTTAAAATTTAAATGAATATAAATCTCTTTCATAAGCTGAAGGTACACTGTGATATTGGCCTTGAAAGCCCAACTTTTTTGAAATGTTTAGGTATTTCAAGAAATAATGTTTCTGGTGATTATATACTTGTAATACAATACGCTGAATTAGGTTCTTTGCGTAAAAACCTTTACGCTGTATCACAAATGAAATGGGAAAAGAAACTAGATCTATTGAGCTGCATTGCTTTTGATCTTCATTTAATTCATTCCAAGAAGATAATTCATCGAGATTTACATAGTGGAAATGTACTGCTAAATAGCTTACACAGCGCATATATTATAGACTTGGGGCTTTCTACATTAACTAATTTAGAATCAGATAAAAATGAAGTATGTGGTGTAATTCAGTATATAGCACCTGAAGTATTATTATATGGTAGTAAGGCGTATAGCATGGCGTCTGATGTATATTCCTTTGGTATCATGGCGTCTGATGTATATTCCTTTGGTATCATAGCATATGAAATAGTATCAGGTCTTCTAGCATATCAAGGCATCAGTACACATATTAATTTGCTACATGAGATTAATAATGGAAAACGACCAATTATTCCAACATACGTACCAAAATTAATTGCTAAATTGATAAATAAATGCTTAAGTTCTCAGTCAGAAGAAAGGCCAACTTCTAAAAATATATATGAAACTATTAATATTTGTAGTAAATGCTTAAGTTCTCAGCTAGAAGAAAGAACAATTTCTAAAGAATTATATGAAATTATTAGCATTTGGAGTAATGAAATTGTAAACACTGAACCAACTGAATTCATTGCACAAGTAAAGCAAGCTGATGAAATAATTGTTAATAATCTGGAATCCAAACTACCTAAATCTGAAGAAATTTATGTCAGTGAAAAACTTACCATACGCACTTCTCTAAATCTTATAAATTCTAATAAGTTAAGCTATATAGGTAATATTAATTTATATGGGTAATATTAATTTTTTAATCATTAAGTTATCTAATTGACTAATTAATAATACGTTTTCCCAATAATATTGACTATTATAAGATCCAAAAAATAGCGGAAGTTTGCTAATTATTGATCAATTCCAGACTAATTTAATAGAAATGACGAAGAATACCAATAAAATGTCCGACTATAATATTTGTCGTCAAACAACTGCGAATATTGGTTATCAAAATGGAATGAGCAGCGGAAGCCTTATTATGGATCAATTGCATGATCAATCACAGACTAATGTAATTGAAGAAACAAACAATACTAATAAAATGACCGGTCATGATTCTGATGAAATATTGGCACTTGCTAAATATTATCAATATGGAATTGGAATCGAAAAAGATGAACATAAGTCATTCACTTATTATCAAAAATCTGCTGATATGGGTCATGCTCATGGAACATTTTATGTTGGATATTGTTATGATAAAGGAATTGGAGTTGAAAAGGATGAACGTAAGGTATTCATTTATTATCAAAAGTCAGCAGAGATGGGGGATGTTTATGGAACGTATAATGTTGGATATTGTTATCGAAATGGAATTGGAGTTGAAAAGGATGAACATAAGGCATTCATTTATTATCAAAAATCTGCAGAGATGGGGCATGTGGGTGGAACGTATAATGTTGGAGATTGTTATCGAAATGGAATTGGAGTTGAAAAGGATGAACGTAAGGCATTCATTTATTATCAAAAATCTGCTGAGATGGGGAATGCGGATGGAACGTATAATGTTGGGGTAATTTGTAAAAGCAACATGCGTCTGACAAAGTTTTTCTTTACAAACCGTACGTACTATCTTTGATTTCTACACGTCCGTCCTAATTTGCGTTTCTGTACCGTACTGCTTTACTATATACCCTATTTTGACGGCAAATGTCGGATGCATAATCAATCAAGAGTAAAAAATCCATTCAAAATGATAAAAAAAAAATAAACAGGTCCCTGTAGTAATTCATGTAAATCATTAGATTAATGTAACACATAAATTATTCAATAAAGACCGAGGCCAGGCCTCACTCTATAAAAAAAAAAAATAAATAAATAAACAAAAAAAAAAAACAATTAAGCGAAATAAAGTTACTAATGTTCTACCTATTAATATAACTGGTTTGGAATGCTTATTGTTTAAAGAAATGTGTACTTAAGCGACTTTTATTTCCTGGTACTTTTTGAAAAAAAGTATTCAATTTAATTATTTATTTAAGCAATAAAATACAATATTTTATTTAGTTCATTTCATGTTCTTGGAAGACTCGCCGCATGCTTCAATTTCTTTATATTTTTCATCATTTTTAATTTAATATACTGTAAGGTTTGAATTAAAGATGCTTGACGAATGACGAAACGTTCGCCATTGACGAATGACGAAACCATTCGTCATGCAACTTCTCATTG